TGTTTTTCTTGCCTAAATGTAGAACCTTACTTTTTTCATCATTGAATTTTATTTTGTTGGATGGTGCCCAATGTTCAAGTCTGTCAAGTTCTAGGTTGCTTCTCTCATTGATTAGTTTCCATCCATTGTTTCTTGTCCTGTCATCTGGTGCTTTGGAAAATAAATTGACCCCTCTCCTCTTTGTAACAGCCCCTTGGTGCAGCAGTCAAGGAGCAGAGATCTAAGATGTTTTAAAAATCTTTTTTAGCATATGTGGGTCCCTGCAAGGAACTCACTGTAGGCTCAAAGAATGCTGGAAGTACAGGCTTCCATCTGAAATCTGTAGCATTTCTCAATTAACTATGCACAGATAGAGTATTCGTTCTCCCGTTTTCTTCTTCTCTCAAACTGTGACTAATTTTTCGGAACGCTCCTTGGCTTGCATGAATAGAAGGCAAATTACCGATAGTACTCTGGGTCAGTTTCTTTTAGCAACCATACAGAATAAACACAAGGCTCTTGCTGCTTATCTCTCCAGAGTTGAACCATTACTGATTCTGGTCTTGACTCTCAAAAATGATGTGCAAATTAAGGGAAATATTTTGATTCACTCTGGGGGACAATTTGGAATCTTGATTAAGGATTTTCTATTTCCCGAAAAGTCTTTCATTTATATTTATTTTCACATTTTAAAGCAAAAGTTGTGGTGCCGAAATTTGGCTGCCAAATTTAGACTACACAACCCCAGAGGGATCATGGAATGCAAATAGGATGCTGGCTGTAGCTCATTGGTCATCAGCTGCTCACTAGATATTTCAGAAACAAATAGAAAGGCTAGTTTTGACTCCATCTTATTTTAAGTTAGGGTTGTGTATTTATCTTTTTTATTATTTACGTGATGTTGTGTATGTAAGTTTTGTAAAATGTTACCTTTTTAGTATTATTAACTGCCCACATAAGATTGGGGAGGGGGTGGGTGGTCAATATACTTAATAAAATAAAAAAGAAATAAAATAAAGAAATTGACAGAAAAGGTACAGCCTCCTCACCAACTCACAGAGAAGTGCTACAGTTCTGTTCCCTGTGTTCCACAAAGCTGAAATGATACACAGCCCTACTGTAGAATGTATTGGCCAAATTGTTGTCAGAAACATGATTTCCAAAGCACATGGCAATATTGCTAAAGTAAAGGCACTGGTTTCCAGTACACTTCTAGTCATCAATTTAATTTGTTAGTGAAGACAGTTAAATTCTTAAATGGTTTGGGGGGGATAGTGTTTGAAGAAACATCACTGTGTGTAATACCTAGCTGAATATTAAGATCTGCCAAGAAGATCTTATCTATTGTGGAGAGCAAGGAGATCAAAAAGACAAAAGGAACATTGTGGTATTTGCATACCTTGTCTATATGTGGCAGGTGCTCCAGAGTGGTGAAGCTTCTGACATAACACAAATTTCATCACTGTGATGACCATTGCAAAAACTTGCAGATGCTGCTATTTTTGCAACTCTTGAGGTGAGAAACATACTTAAAGAGAAGTGAGTGAGGGTCTTCTTGGT